CTTGATTACTACCAGTTTCTCATAATCCAATTACAAAGCATCAAACAAAATATATGATCTAGGCTTCAAAGACTAATTATGATTCTTGAGGCCACGAAAACCATGTTAAATTGCTTGAACTCTGGTAGCCAATGCTACTCGAACCTAGGTGACGGAAATTACTTTCCTTAATCACCAGACCAAAGTGACTTGGTTATAGTTAACACTTTCATCTTTGGACGTTTGTTCGAATTTTAAACATTGTCAAATAATGAAATAATCAACTTGTATTTGTTTTTATTTATTTATTTTTGGCAGAAGAGATCAACATGCATAACTAAAAACCAATCTTAAAATGTTTCGAGGATCGAACGATACCACTGAACCAAAATTGACTCAAAAATGTAATTCAATACATTCTATAGTAATATTAACACACACATACGCAAACAAACACAATATATTCGAGGATCTAGCATTTTAAATAAAGCTACAATAAAATGGAAAATGTATTATTTTTCCTAGTTAATGCTCCTTAATGACTAAATGTAAAATTTCCAATTTTCCTAGTTAGTGTTTCTTAATAACAAAATGTAAAACTTACAAATATCACCGGTTATTTACAAAAATCTCAAATTCTTTTTTTTCTCAAAAATCTTAACTTTTTTTTTTTTTTTTTTCAAAAATCTTAACTTTTGTTTCAATACACATATATAAAGTATAATTTGCATCCGAGAAAGAGAAGAAGACACGAAAAAAAATAAGTGAGAAAGAACAAATTTTGAAGTGCGTAGTGAAGAAACAATATGGAGCCTGGTTTCTTCCAAGTTATCGTAGCGGTAGTGTCTATCTTGGTCATCTTCATGTTAGCAGCTCTATATGTTAGGTTTTACTTAAACCGAACACAAACACATATTGTACCCACTTCTAATATTTAACTATCTTATACTATGATGTAGTTTATTCCTTCTTTGGTTTATTCTTTATTTTTTCTTGATAGTGTTCTTTGGTTTGTTTCTTTGATTTATGAATTATGTAATGATGAATTTTTAGACTAGATATATATATATATATATATATATATATATATCTTTGACATAATTTATTTTTTATGTCGATAGAAAAGTTTATTAACAAAATATTTTCCTTTTGAAAAATTAAACAAGGAACTAATAACACGTTTATTATAAAAAATTTAATCAAGTATATGAATATAAACAAATCAGCAGAATATTATTCAAGAATACATAAGTGTTGTTGGAACTTGACGAAGTGGTTGTGACCACATTTCCGTTGGATTTTCCGGTGAAAACGTTCATTAGAATGACCGGTTCTTGGGCACGATGGAATCGTTGTTGCGAGCACTACGTGGTGATGTATTAGAATGTCAAAAACGAAGTTCGATTCAATGAGAAACGGAAGTCCAAAGTAACTTGCTTGCATAGCTTGGTATTTTGACTTAAAAACAAATTGTATACTTTAGAAGTTAGAAGAGAAATCCAAACATACGTGGATTGGATTTAAGATTTGAGATTTGGGAAATAGGCTTACAACCCATTGATTATTTTATTTTCCCAAATTGATTGATTTAAATTAGTGATTAAATCAAAAATATCTACTTTAATGATTGTGTAAAATCAATTAGGATCAAAAACGTTTTTGACTTTGTTGTGAGAATCAAGTCTCTTGATTGTGTCATTAAGGTGATATATTCTCCTCTTTAATGCCATGGCCGTGGGGCTATTATGCTATAAAATCATGGTTTTTATTCTCTCATTCTGATCATCGATCAAAGCATCATAATCCCTCTCTTCTCTCTTCTTCTCTTGCTTATGTCTGGGAGTACAACACAAGGCTAGCTTTCGATTATCTTTTGATTTGAGTATTGCGAATCAAAAGGAAAAAGAGTTTTATCCTGAGAATCTAATAATTGTCATCAAACCGTCGCACTACGGGGCAAATTTTGAGTTAAGAATATAAGATCTGAATATTTCAACAGGGGCACAATCTAGTATTTGTAAACTAATTAACATAGAACAAGTAATGAAATACAACCATACCGAAAAGATTTTTGAGTTAAGGAGAGATCATCAAAGTTCTCGACTCTGTTTACTATCGTCAATCTCCGTTCCACAATCATCATTTCGGTATTGTTGTATTTCATTACTTGTTATATGTTGCTTTACAAATATTAGATTGTGCACCTGTTGAAATATTCAGGTCTTATAGTGGTCTCGTTCTGCCAATCGATCTATATTTAGAAGCATAATGAATGGAAAATTAAAACCCTAATCTAGTGATTTTAATTGGACATGATGATTTAAGACAATATTGGTCATGCATTGATCTTGGTCGGCTTAGCAGAAAAGGTAGGGTTTTCATTACCAGCCAATATAACAACAATCTTTAATTGATTCCATATCTAGTGGCTTCAACCTATGCCTCTTTCCTTGTTTCTCTTGCTTTTCAATGCATGAATTCGAAGCGTTTTGCTTATGATATAGCAAGCATAGGCCGTAGCGATCAATGAAAGCGCAAAGAGCCCCAGCATTACTCCCCACGCACAAATCTTAGAGAGAATTGGAGAGTTTAAGTTCTCTAACCCGGAGTTAACCAGGACCATCGAATCAATATCCAGACTCATGACCTCATTGATCTTGGAATCTGATCTTCCCTCTTCCACTCTTTTTTCTTCTCGAGTTTGTGTAGGTTATTTATTTATATAGTTTTACCAAAAAGTGAGAGTTTTGCACAGTCTTCAGATGCCAAGTTGCCTTCAGAGTTTTTGTCCTAAACGGGTTTATTTTTTCTTGAACAATTGAGAGATTCTTTGATCTCTTTTCTTAAATAATAGATTTTTGGGTTGATGTCGATTCTAATGTGTAACCCAATTATTATTATTATTATTATTATTATTTTTTTTAAAAAAAAACTTAAATCATTTTATTAAAAATGGGCCCAAGCCCAGATAAGCCATGGGCTTTACAAATCGAAAACATTCACAAAATGGAGAAATCGGAAACCCTAGCCGTCATCGGAACATGAGATCGGACCCTGGTTAATCACCGGAGGCAGAGACCTCGAGCAGAATACTGGCGAACACAAGATTCACGGCTTCGCGACGACGAGGTAGGATCGGGATCATTGGTGGAAGTGTTCGGTTTCCGCCGCCATCGGTTTCCGCCGCCAATCTCTCTCCGACGAGTCACCATCTCCGCTACAAATCTCCCAGAAGCTCCGTTCTCCAACTCTCCGGCTGCGCCGATGACAGATCCTCAACCTAGCAATCCGTCACACTCAGATCTATCCCTCAAACCTCCAGATCTGGCGAAATCCAAGTTCTCCGAGCACAATCCCCCTCAATCCAGTCCGGTTGAAGCAACATCACGGTGGCAGCCGGAGGACGGAGGCTCAAACATCCACCGGACAGCCACAACCCGCGAAAGGCATCTAAGATCGCTAAGGATCTACAGTTAACAACCAAACAAACAACGAAAAAACCCACCTCTTTCCCCGTCGACTTCCGCCGCTGTCGCAGCGCCGTTGTGTCGGATGAGCCGTGAGAAGAATCAGGCGGGCCACTGGCGTCCTAAAACCAAGGCCACTACCACAAATCCTCTCAGCCACCAAAAAGGAGCCGCAACAGCATCGAACCGGGAAAGAAACCACCCCACACCGTTGACGGAGAAGAAGATGCACTCACCTCTGCTTCCGATTTGCAAATCCACGACCAGCGGTGAGGACCATGCCAAACTGAACCCTAGATCTAAAAGAGAGAAGCGGCGAGAGACAGAGAGAGTTTTTTTTTTTTTTAAGAGGGGAACGATTGTCCTATTCAAATTTTCTGATCTTTTTTCGTGTAACCCAATTTCATATGAATATGTATATAAATTTTATCCTAAAAACCAGATAAATTATGTAATCAATAGAATATGTAATGTGGAGGTAAATCAAGAAAAAAAGTTAAAAAATAGTTAATAGAATATTTTTGTGATTTTTTTTATATTAGTGTAGTTAAAAAAAAAGTTTATAGTCAATTGTTAGTATCATTTTGATCTCATCTAAGATTTTGTATGTCTAGTTTCTTAAATTTAATTTTAATTTTGTTGGAACTTTGGTTATCTGAAATTTTTAATTATCGTTTTTACCAAATAAATTATAAGAATATGTAATAATGGTTTACTTATAGTCTATATAACACTAAAGAAGGCTCGCCTAAGTAAGCAGGTGTACAAATTAAATGTAAATTTTTATTGATGATATTTGAATTCAAAATAGTAATCCACATTTTTTTTTAAATATTTAGTCTAGTGATTTTTGTATTTAATCAGATTTTATTCTTATACATTACATTTTGTAATACAATTCAACTATCTATTTCATTATAAAAATTTTGATTTTAATTTTACAACTCTATCTTATCGATGATATTTGATTTCTAAATAGTAACACTCAAATTTTCTATATAAATCCACATTCGAATATGTGGATTAAATCAGATTTTATTCTTATACATTACATTTTGCAATACAATTCAACTATCTATTTCATTATAAAAAATTTGATTTTAATTTTACAACTCTTATCTTATCGATGATATTTAATTTCTAAATAGTAACACTCAATTTTTCTATATATAAATTAAAATATATAATTTTTCTATATATAAATTAAAATATATAATTTTTCTATATGTCGTAAATTATATATTCAAATATAATTTTTCTATATGCTGTAATTTGATAACTAATAATTTTACCCCATAAAATAATTGAAAATTCATTCTTATAAGCTCTTTTTTTTTTTAAGTTTTTAGTGTTTTTACTTAAGACTACATGAGTTAAAATTCTTAAAAAAAAACATAAATATAATTACTTTATATAATAAGATAGATAATAGATAGAAATAAATTATATACAATTCTTCATTTCTTATACTAATGAAACAGTATATTTATATATCCATATACTGTATTTTATCAAATTATTGTTATTTTATTATCTTATAGAATTTTTGAAAATAATTTACCGTATGTTAAAAATGCACAATCAACGAATGAATCAAAGAAATTTCTCATTGAACAAAATTAGTTAGGCCCACGATGAAATGGCCCAATAAATCATTTTGTTCCTTGAGCTCGTCTCCCAACAACAACTATGAGATTCAAGAAGCAAAGAAAATCGTTGAGCTGGTGACGAATTTGGCAATGTCAAAGTTGAAATCTTCACTTCCAGATGATTTGATATTGAGCTGCTTAGCCCGTGTATCAAGATTGTATTACCCAACTCTCTCCTTTGTCTCCAAAAGCTTCCGTTGCTTCATTGCTTCACCAGAGCTTTACCAGACCCGATCTCTCTTAGGTCAAACTGAGACTTGTCTCTATGTTTGCTTACGATACTCTCCTGACTCTAACCCTCGTTGGTTCACATTCTGCCGAAAACCAAGTGACAATCTTCTTCTTCTGGTTCCGATCCCAATCATCAACTCTCCACCTGTGGAATGGTCTAATATTGTCTCTGTTGATTCTAATCTCTACGCCATTAGCGACGAAGTTGCTGTCTCTTTCCTTGACTGTCGAACTCACACTTGGCTCGAAGCTCCAAGCTTGCGATTGACTAACACTCAAAGTAAGCTTGATGGGGAGATGTATTTACCAGGAAGCTGTGAAAATCCAGATTCTTTCAACTGTATTGAAGTTGTCAGCAAAAAGACTCAAACTTTGAAGCCCCAGCGGCTCGAAAAGCCGAGTTTAGGAGTTTTAGATCTGCAAGGAAAGGTTTACATGATCCACGAAATCGAGTCTGGTAAAAAAGGTGTGGTTTTAAACTTTAAGGATTTAACTTGGGAAGTGGTAGGATTAGGTGGGAATAATTTTTGGGCTTCTGTTGGTATGATAGAGAACATAGTCTATTCTTATAATAAACGCAGTGGGGAGTTTCTTTGGTTATACTTTGACAAGGAGGAAGAAGGTGCGAGGAAATTAAAGGGTTTAGAAGGGTTACCTAAGTTTGATAGTGGTAGTACTGTTAGATTGGTGAATTATGGTGGTAAGCTGATGGTTTTGTGGGATCAAAATGTTCCTGCAAGTGACTTTGAGGAGGAGAAGATGATTTGGTGTGCCGAGATTTCGCTTGACAAACGGAAGAATGACGAGATTTGGGGCAAGGTCGAGTGGTTTGAAGCTGTGCTTACAGTCCCTAAAGCTTATCAATTTGTTTGTGCTATTGCTGCTACTGTTTGATAAATGACTCATGAGACAGGTTATGTATGTCACCTTCTTTTTTCTTTTTATGTATTGTCACATTTGAAAGAATGTCTTCTGTTGCATTGCTTAGCGGAATGCAAATTGACATTTGTTTTCGCTTATAACTATCGGCACTCTTTTGCTTTGTAGATAATTAAGCTTTTCTTGAGACTGTCTCTTTGATGAACCCTTTGATCTCAAACTCTTTCTGATATTGTTTGATGATGGACTCTTGAGATAAGCGGGTAGGGTAACTTAGCTTTGTGACAGCGACTGTGAAAATGTATTTGAAAACAGTTTATTTTTGTTGCATTGAAGGGAGGCTACGGTTCTTTAAATTCACGAGAATCAACTAAAACAAGATGCACAGTTAGTGATTATTTGTCTATTTTACATGCTCATTTATAGTATAATGAATGACCAAGTTGCAGACAAAAACAGAGTTTTGTTGTTAAGGCAAGGCTTATGTTCATGTCTTGTAGCCAACCAACAAATTACCATGCAAACAATGTGAGGATCCTCTGTTTCATTCCCAACAAACAATTTGGAATTTGAAAGCATACTAGTGGACTTATGTAAAGAATGGTCAAGTTGCAGAAAGAAAATTGCGGGTTCATATGTAATTTCTATTCAAGTCTTACTACAAACAGAAATTTTAATAGACAAAAATCCGACTCGAGTTGTTTTGGTTGGTATAGAAGTTTACAAAATATTTTCTTCGTGACAAGTTAAACAAAGAAACAAATAACAATGTTTATCATCAACAACGAATTAATCTGAGTTTAAATAAGAAATCAGCAGAATATTAGTCAAGGATATACATAAATGGTGTCGTCCTGCTTATCAAAACCCAATTAACAAGCATAACGAAAGAAAAACAAAACACTAATCTAGCGATTTTGGTCATGCATTGATCTTGGTTGGCTTGGCAAAGAAGGTAGGGTTTTCATTACCAGCCATTATAACAACAATCTTTGGTTCCATATCTAGTGGCTTCAACCCTTGCTTCTTTCCTGATTTCTCTTGCTCTTCGATACATGAATTCGAAGCGTTTTGCTTGTGATAGCAAGCATAAGCCATAGCGATCAATGAAATCGCAAAGAGCCCCAGCATTACTCCCCACGCACAAATCTTGGAGAGAATTGGAGAGTTTAAGTTTTCTAACCCGGAAGTAACCGGGACCATTGAATCACTATCCAGACTCATTGCCTCGTCGATCTTAAATTTGATGATTTCTCTTCCACCAGATTTTGTCTTCTCAAGTTTGTGGGATTTATTTATTTATATAGTTTTAGCAAAAAGTGAGAGTTTTGCAGTCTTTAGATGCCAAGCTGCCTTCTGAGTTTTCGTCCTAAAAGGGTTTATTCTTTCTTGAACACTTAAGAGATTCTTTGATCTCTGTTGTTACCAAGCTTAGATCCTTTGTGTTTGTGGTGCCACAGTTTTCTTAAATAATCAATTTATGAGTTGATGTTGTTTAATCTATCGAGTCCTTTGTACAAGATATATAAATTACTGTGTATCCCATTTTTATATGTTTAAATTTCATCCTTAAAAACAAATAAATTATGTTATTATGTATAAGAATATGTACTAGTGAGGCAAATCAAGAAAACAAATTATTGGTGTGAATTTTTTTTTAAAATTAGTATAGTTGAAGCTAAACTTATTGAATCTCAAGTTACAAAAAATCATAAAGTTTATAGTCAATTGTAGTATCATTTTTATCACAGATTGTATGTTTAGTTTCTTAAAAAAAATTTCTAGGGTCTTTTGTTATCTGAACATTTTTTATAATCATTTTTACCAAATAAATTATAAGAATATGTAACAACGATTTAGTTATAGTCTCTATAAAATGTAAAATTATAAGAAAATTTAATTTATTTGATTTGGTTTGGTTTCTATTTGATTTCGGATTATTGGACGCACTTTGAAGTACTTCGGTACGATAACCGGAACTGACCGGATCAATTGATCGAGTATATAAAAAAAAAACCAATCGGTTACAAACAAAATTTAGATTTGTTTCGGCCACATTTTCATATGATATGTAATATTTGAAAAGCAAAAAAGAAATGATCATAAGACATTGCTATTTTATTAGAGATCTCTAAAAATGAAAAAGGATCTCAAAGAATACATCATCATGACATAACAAACAGAAGCAAAATCCAATAAAAGTAGTAATATATCAAGAAAAAAAACCAACAGTTTGAATAATCAAACCGTTGAACCTAATCTTTAGGTTTCAAAAAATGAATTATTGTTTTTATTCGTGAAAAGAAAAATAGCATAATGAATCATATGATTATTGTCTTCATTTGTTGATGCCGGTCGCATTCTTCACTGATTCGGTAGCTCCTTGTGCCTTCTCCTTAATCTGCTGGCCGGTCTATACAAATGTTTACAAGTGAAACAATTTAGTTCCATGTTATTACAAGAATTCGTATTTTAAAATCTTTTGTAAGGTCGGATTCGATTTTACGAACCTCTTGGAGAGACTCCTTGGCAGATTGAGCAGCATTGCTAGCCTTGTCCATCATGGTGCTAGCCTTCTCCTGAACACCATCAACCAAATAATAAATAAATAAAAGTTATGTATACATAATACATTACAAGAAAAAATCTCACACAAGAAACTAGAAAGCTCTTGAAATCTTTAATTAAAATTATGTTTTATAAATAGACCAAAAAACTTTGTTTTAGTTGTAGTAATTTAGGATTACCTGAGTTTGGCCTTTGGCCTGGCCGGCTTGGAAGCTTATGTTCTGGGAGTTGCTTGACATTTTCGAATAGCTTTAGTGAAAAGAAAGATAAGTTTTTGCTTTGAATAAGAGTGTGAATATGGGATTAATGAATTGAGTTAAGTTCCTCCAAAGGTTCCATAATTTATATAGCTCTCATGAAGCTTTCATTTTCTGACACGTGGCAGTAGAGTGTTGGATTATGAGGTGTTCCGGATCAAGTGGAGATTAGGATGATTAATCCGTATTTAGTCATGAGATCAGAGTTATATGGGAGTTTGACTCATTTGATTGATATTTTTAGCTTGATTGACTTGTTCTAATGATTGTGATCTCGTCTTTTGTTTTAGTACTGTGTTGATTTGATTAATTCAGCTTTATTATTACAAGGGATGCATCTTTTTAGGATTTGAGGTTTAAATCCAGTTTAAATTAGTGGAGTTCTTGCTACTTTCTAGTTAATTGAGAAGATTAGACATATTTTGCCCCAAAAAAAAAAAGAGAAGATTAGACATATATTAAATATTTTTTGTCTTCTTTAATATTTACAATAGTCCTTTTCCATAGTTGATCGGATTCTAGTTAAAAAAAGTTTTTTTTTTTTTTAATTGGGTTCAAAATGAAAAAGTTTTAAGAAATAAAAGTTATGAGTTATTGTCACCTTTAAATAGTGTTTAGAATGAGAAAAAAAAAACAGAACTACATACAGTATCAAGAAAGAAAGAAAAAAATAGAGAGTAGAATTACATTTACATGATACATTTTTTTTTTTGGTAAACCTTTTTTTCACATACTACTATAATATATACATGATACATTGATAGGGTTCTAATGGTAACACGTTAAAATAAACAAATCAATAGAGTTAGGCGGTGAAAAACTTGAAATAATAGTATTATGCTAATCTTATATTGACGTTAAATATTGAAGCATGTTGACAAGAAAAGTATATAAGCCCAAAAGCAACAAAACAAATACAATTTGGTAGATTAGTAGTTAGTGTTAAGTTAACACTGTTAACATAAGCTGGATTTAATTTTTCATAAAATTAAAGAAGAAACAACAGTCTAACCAAGTATTTCAACATTGTCACATTGATCATGATCAGTACTGACTACTGAGCTTATACAGGCACTCACTTCACAAGACCTCGCTTTTGTTAATTTCCCGTAAAATACTCTTCGATATAAGACATCTATCACCTACATGACTCCAAAAGAATCTCAAAACATCGTTATCACCAGCATAAGAGGCACTGAGGGATTTATACAGTTTCAAGTTCACCATCAACCGTCGATTATACATTACATCGAACAGAGCAGAAGCGTCAGTTACCTTCCCTGTTCTCCAATATGCATACGCCATTGTCGTGTATATAACACTATCTCCCATTAAACCCTTCTTTTCCATTGACTCAAACAACACTTTGGCGTAATCCACCTGTTCTAACTTACAAATCCTTCTAATTAATCCTCTGTATAGAGCAACATCAGGGCAAAGACCTCTTTTTTCAAACTCCTCTGGGAGTTTTGTGATTTCGTCTTGCTTGTTCTGGTTATAGAATCCATCCACAAGCCAAGAATAAGCCGAATATCCTGGAGATAAGCCTTTCTCTATCATAGAGAATAGTTCCTCCTTTGCGTTGTCCAGTTCCAACACTTTACAAAACCCGTGAATCAATGCTTTGTATGAATACATGTCAAGTTTTAGCCCCGATTCAATCATCTTCTTCTTTACCTTCACTGCAGATACCATGTCCTCGATTTTGCAATATGCGTTGATCAAAGTATTGCAGGTGATATTATCAGGTTCTATCTTTTTTACACTCATCTCAGTCAACAGCCGGTTAGCTTCTCGTATTCTTCCATCTTCACATAACTTACGTAGAATCGAGTTGTACGTCACAACTCCAGGACAAAACCCTCTTGACTCCATTACCTCTCGTAACCTCAAAGCTTCATCTATATCATTCATTCTACAATATCCATCAATCAAAGTAGTATAAGTAACATGGTTTGCCATCACAACGCCTTTGATCTTCCGAAAAAGCCTCGTCGCTTCCCTCATTCTACCTTCTCTACTAAACCCATGTATGAGTGAGTTATACGTGACAATATCTGGAGCAACCCCACTTCTCTCCATCCTATCTTGAACGGATAAAGCCTCGAAATGCATACTTTTTTTGCAGTACACAGAGATCAACGTATTATAGGTAAAAATATCAGGAAACACGCCTTTTTCTTCCATCTCACTTAACAATTTCTCGGCTTTCTCGGAATCACCGGACTTAGAACAAGCATGAACCAATACATTATACACATGAATGTTAGCCACAACACCTAACTTAACCATCTTCTTGAAAATCTTCCAAACTGTATCAGTCAATCTCTCTTTAACCAAACTATTAAGTAACACAGTACAAGCCTGCAAATGAGGCTTCAATCCACAACTCATAATCTGCTCAAACACCGCAATCGAATCGTTGATCATCCCGGATTTCGCATAAAATATCATCAACCAGCTAAAAACGTGAGATAAAACTTCTGGGTCTTCAGAAACACCACCAACTAAAGATCTCAAAACCAAAGGAGACGATAAAAGCTCTCTCTGAGACAATTTATCGAGCAGTTGGTGTGCAGTTTTGAAATGATTGTGTTTTGTGAGAATCAAAATCATTTTCCATGATGATTGTAAACTATGCTTGCAACTTGGTAACGAATCAGTCCAGCTATAGAAACTCCATGAAAGAGAAGGTCCACCATAACCAGAATACAGAGAAAGCTCGGAGATTACCTGAGTGATTATCGATGATTTCAATAACCCAGAATCAACTTTGTGTTTCAGAATATTTTTCCAGTTTCCTTTCAATACAGTTGCACAGATGCTTTGTGCAATCAAAGCTTCACGATTTGCAGACAACAAATTCACCATTGTTGTTGCTCAAATGTTGTATAACAGAGAAGAGTGACGATTAATTTAGAGAAGGCCTAAACCGGTTTGAATCTCTCCAATAGATGAACCAGACCGGGTTATTACCAATTAAACGACCGAAATCAAAACCGGAAACGAATCGATTGTTTTTCAAGAACCGGGAACGGACCAATTTTACGAGATACGTATTAAGATCGAACTGAACCGAATCAAAAATTTATCAATTCGAAAACAAACCGAGTTTCAGACCGGTTCACTAAAGAATACGTATATTGCTGCTATAAACCAGGCCGGATTATTTGCCAATAGTTGAATAAACAACCGAAATGAAAACTGGAACCGAATCCATTGTATTGTACCGGGGACGAATTGAAACCGAATCTTTTCGGATCAAAATTCATCAATTCGAAACCAAACCGAATTTCATAACAAAATTTGAACTTTTGTACCGAACACTAAGATCAGTAACCAGCCGAATTTAAAATACGGAACCGAACCGAATCGAATGTAACTGGGGAACGGACCGGTTTAGAAAAGAAATACGTATATGTCCTCTAGTCTTGCTGCTATTAACAACTTTACCCCTCTTATCTGTCGAAAACCTCAAAAAGCAAAAACCCTAATTTACATCGTCGTGGCCTGACTAATCCCAATTTTTCCGAGAGCGTCGACGCCGATAATCGCCGACAGAGTTTTTGCTTCTCACGAGATAGAAAGAAGATGAAGGAGACGAGAAAGCTAAAGAAGACAAATCTCCCTGAAGGTAGGTCTAATTTTCTCTTATTTCGATTCTTTTTTCTCTTAATTCGAGAATTTTGTTCATTCTTGCTTACTTGAGTTTGAAGATTCTGAATTGATTAAAGATGTTTCATT